CAGAGACTGAGACCTCACAGTCCAAGAAAGCCAACTTGCCATTTTTTTCATCTTCTCGTGTGAACGTGATGTATTTATCCACAGAGTTGATGTGGTCAGTAAAATGTTGGACTTCCTGAGATTTAATTTTAACCCAGGTGTCGTCAACATACCTGAACCAATGACTTGGTGGTGTCCCTGAAAAGGACGTCAAGGCTCTCTTTTCTACCTCCTCCATGTACAGGTTGGCAACAATAGGAGAAACTGGAGACCCCATAGCACACCCATGTTTCTGCCTATAATATTGCTCCCCATATGTGAAGTAGGTTGACTGCAGGCACAGTTTCAAGAGTTGACACAGTTGTTCTGTAGAAAGTGTGGTCCTGCTGCTCAGAGTGGTGTCTGATTTTAATCTTAAACTGACCACCTCTACTGCATCATCAACAGGAATGCACGTAAAGAGTGATGTGACATCAAAAGAGACCATTGTTTCATCAGTCTCCATGATGACATCCCTCACCTTATCCACAAAGTCCATGGTGTTCTGTATGTGGTGTTCTGAGCTGCCAACTAAAGGGATGAGTACAGACGCCAGATATTTGGAAACATTGTAAGTGACAGAGTTAATCATGCTAACAATTGGTCTTAAAGGTACACCTTGTTTGTGGATTTTAGGTAAACCATACAGACTAGGTGTGGCCTCCCCTGGGTACAGTCTGTGGTACAGAAAACGGTCAGTAGCCTTGTCCTGCTCCAAATTTTTCAGGCAATCTATCAATTTCTTCTTGTAACCACTTCCTGGATCTCTTTTCAGAGGTTCACAAGTGTTTAAGTCACTAAGGAGTGTCATAACTTTCTCATGATAGTCTTTCTGGTTCAAAATCACTGTGCACCTTCCTTTGTCTGCTGGGAGAATGATGATGTTTTTGTCCTTGCTAAGAGTGGTGAGTGCATCCCTCTCCTCTCTACTGATGTTGGAAGGTGGTGGTTTGGCATTGCTGAGGCAGGCTGAAACTTTGATTCTGAGCTGTTCTGCTTCAGCCTCTTTAATTTTGTTGTTGCGGATGGCTGACTCAGTAGCTGTGATCATCTCCACCAGAGGAATTCTACTTGGTGCAACCGCAAAGTTCAGTCCCCTGGCAAGAATCTCTGTCTCCGGCTGGGTGAGCTGTCTGTCAGATAAATTCTTCACCCACTTTTCTGTCTCCCTGGCATGTAATTGACTACTGGAGTGTTGTCCTACACTGAATGTGTTGTTATTGGAATAGTGATGGTGTTGATGAGCTATTAGTACGTTAAACTGTTTTGTTGTCGAGTCTTGGACTTGACATGCTGTGCTAAGCGTGCCCAATCTGTACAGTCCATCACTTGCTGAAGTGTGGTCTGATCTAGGCATGTAGTTAGTTTTTGTTTAATGTGCTCTTCTTTGGCCTTCAAGGCCTCAATAGTAAAATTGGTCTGTCTCACCCGTTCATTCAGTAGCTGGGTCTGTGCCTTCTGAAGGATCTTGCTTGCCCGGTGCCCGCTGACCGAAGATTTTAGTTCCAGGCTCTTGGGAATGATGCCACTTTGTCGACATCTGAGGTTGAATCGCAAATGGTTCCTGTAGTCTGCCCTCTTCCTTGCTGTTTTCTCAAACTCTCTAACTAGTTTGAGGCAATCCTGTCCAAAGTGGTTCAAAATATCCTGATGCATGCTCAATAATCCAGGTACCTTGGACCAGGTTTTTCTACCTGGATTATTGAGCATGCATCAGGATATTCCTTGTATTTCTTTACAACTAAATTCAGTGATCATTTACGAACAGGTGTGGAAATTGTCCGAGCTCAGAACCTCTCACAGATCAGAGGAAGATGATTATTTTTTTTGCTTTAACGCTCTCTACCACTCGATTTCCTCCAAAATAACATCTGTCGACTCGTCCTCGCAGCTTCTAGTCGGTTTCTTTTCAGAAGAGAAGAATTTTAAATTTTCTCTGGACCTGTCGTCTCTGACTCCATCGTTCTCCCCCCGACTCTGTTCACATCTGAGGATTATTTTACGGACACAGAACCTGTCAGCTGAAGTGTTTCCTCCATGTTCAAATGTAAACAAACTAATAATTGTTGGCAACAAGCCACGACTCTGCTGATTTGACTCATTTGTTACAAATTATTTATAGACATGTGCTCATGAGTGATGCATATATTTGATCTTAGTCGATACACATATACCAGTGTTTCCTCTAGTTAACTTGCCATGGCGGGGTGCTCATCTCATCCATGATTTTTGTTGAGGGGGTGGGGTGGGGGGTGGAGACATGTCTGAGTGCAGCTTGTACCAACAGTTTTTGAGCGGGGTGGGCTTTCAGCATGAGGGAAGAGGCGCCTTTAGCTTTTAAGCTAGAGCACATGTATTGCGCGCTGCTAGCTTAGTGCGACATGTTTGAGTTGCGCACTGTTTGGGGGGGGGGGGGGGTGTTCAGATTGAGAGGAGAGACAACGTGAGCGTTGCCTTTAGCTTTTCAGCTAAAGAGCCTGTATTTTGTGCTGCTAGCTTAGTGCTATGTCAGTGCCGGGTGGGGTGGGAGAGTTTGGTTTGGTAGGCAGGGTGCTCATTTCTGTTGACGGGGTGGGGCACCCCCACTTATATAATGGTAGGAGAAACATTGCATACCATACTCAAAATTTTGAATTAAAAACTGAAAAATCTCCCTATATTTTTTAAAATACTTTTAACAGTGGCCCCCCGACTGGCCCCCCTTTAAAAACGTTCTAGAGGTGCCCCTGCTTTCTTGTCATGTTTGGGTCAAATGCGCCAGAGACACCAGTCACAGCAGGAGGGTGGTGTGCAGCTGTAGGTGACCTGAGCACACATCCTACTGTACAAGTACACATAAAGTACACAGAGAGTACACAGATGCAGTACTTGTCTGGAGTGGCCCCGGGGCTCCGGCGGCTTGAAGAAGGAGTCCGGCAGCTTCCTCTTCCTCATGGGCAGAGACTGCGGCTGCCGGGCCGCCTTGCTCGGGTTCATCACGGCGCTGAAGAGGGCCTCCAGCTCCGTCTTTGAGTCCCCGCGCACGTGCACGACCTGCTGCCCCGCCGGGGGCGCGCCGCCGCGGTGCGCGTCCATGTCGCCGAAAAGTTTAGTCACGAAGCAGAAATCTGTCGAGAAAAAAGTAAAAGTTCAACCGAGTCAACAAACCAACAAACAAGGAAACAAACCAAGCGGCCAGCTCGGCGCAGGACTGGACCCGTCTGTTTACACTTTTTAACCCCCCCCCCCCCCCCACACACCCCCCCCCCCCCCCCCCCCCCCCCCCCCCCCCCCTTTTTTTTTAAAGGACTTTTGAGCTGTTGTTTGAAGCTCCAGCGGCTAAAATCACCGAGTTTCAGCTCAAAAGTCGACAGGAGCGGCTGAAGGCAGAGCTGGAGCTGGAGCCTCTCGCGGCGGAGCTCAGCATGCCTCCCACATACCTTCAAGCAGCCGCAGCGTCTCCCCCTACTCCCCCTCTCTCCTTGGCTCTCCTGCGGGACAAAACTCGTCCACGGCCCGAGACTAAAAACCCTCCACGGGACGCCTTTCCACGCGCCGCGCGTCGAAGTTAAAACATGCACACCTCTGCACGCGCACATGAGAAACTGGTCTCACCCGGAGACTTGTTGTAAACTTCTCCCCCCCATCCAGCCTTCAGCCTAGATTCATGTGATAGTGCGGGAGGGGCGGGGTTGTGTGCGGGGTTTAAAGCTGCCGCAGAGTCCCAGGGCAAACAAGGAAAAGTTTACTGATCTATTTTGTTTCCAGAGGACCCCCCGCCCCCCTCCTGGGTGGAAATCACGTCAGTTTTATTCTATTGCTCTGATGTGACATTTCAGTTCGTGCGGTTTTTCTTTGGAAAGTGAGAACAAATAGATCTTCAGGAGGAGGTTGGGATGAGCAGATTTACTGGAGCCATTTATCCTGGCTCTTGAATAGTAGTTCTTTTTGAGGGGGGTGGAGGGGGGGGGGATGTTGGGTGAAGGGAAATTGGGAAGTTGCGCTGAGAAAACATCCGCCCGGAGATGAAGCCAACCCAAACCGAGCCTGTTTGGCCTGAACCCCGGCAACAGGCCGCGGACTGCCGCCCCCTGCTGGCAGACATGCAGAACTACAACTGCTGTTACACCTGATGGCCTGCAGGGGCAGCAGAGAGAACAAATGATGTCTGCAGATCAAAGGTATACTTGGATCAAAGTTCAAGTGACGGGGACATGCATATCCCACAAATACAAAAATGGAAGACAAGATTTTAATATTGAAGAATGTTTGACTAAATACACATAATATTATTAATTTATCACATAACTGGCACCTCTCTAAGTGGCTTTAAACAGCTACCAAAGTCTCACTTGTAAATGAGTCTTCAAGGCTCAATGGGACTTATTTGTTTAAAAAAAGGTTGAATGAATGAATGAAAAAAGTTCCTGGCAAAAACCAATGCAGATATGTTCCTGTTTTAAATTTTCTACACCGCCTTATATTCTAGCAGTTTTTTTTTTTTTTTTTTTGTTTTTTTTTTTTTTTTTCCTTTTGGTTTTCATTTTATTTTAATTTGTATTTAAAAAAAAAAAAAAAAATTGTATGCCTCTTTTACTGTCTATTTGACTGTCTATTGTTGTCGTTGTTATCCACTATTGTCATCACTCTTTGTTAAAGAAATCAGGTCTCTCTTGTAAATGAGTCCCCGAGGCTCAATGGGATTAACCTGTATACATAAAGGTTGAATGAATGAAAAATTTTCATTTAAACTGGTGCAGCCAAAGTGAAAAAGGAAGTGACATCAAAGGAGAACTCTTTAAAAAGGGGGAACTTCCTGGTTTTTGTTAATTGAAACAATATTTAAATCCTGACTCTTCTTCATCTCTGATAGTAACTCTAATTAATCTAAATGTCAGATTCTTTTCTGCTGTCTATGTTAGTCATTGTAGCAATTATCTGTTTGCATGCTGGTATTCCCCTTTGACATCACTTCCTGTTACTGTGCATGCAAATATCTCACCAACTGTGCGGCTCAGCAGCTTGAAAATTATTTTGCAATATGTTATTAATGCTGTCTTTCCAAACATGCATTTGTATTCATCACAAAATTTTGACGTCACAGGTACTTTCATGCTCATTGATCCAGGAAAAAAAAATCCAACAATGTTCAGTCAGGCCATCTGGACAGTTTCTTTTTTTTTCTGATATGTTTCGTCCTTCATCCAAAGGACTTCATCAGTCCGAGGAGCCACAAACAAACTGATCCCCACAAGCAGCACACTCCCATAGAGCAAACTTCCAGTCTGCTTGTGATAAGATGGTTTCTGGGGCCTTCCCTCTCCTCGATCGACTCCTCTGAGGCAGCCTTGCCAAAGTGGTTCAAAACATCAAAGTTCATGCTCAATAATCCAGTTAAAAATCCAACAATGTTCAGTCAGGTCATCTGGACGGACTGGATTTTTTCCCACTATGGGAGTGTGCTGCTTGTGGGACTCAGTTTGTTTGTGGCTCTTCTGACTGATATCTCCAGAGTTATTAGGACAAAACAACACAACCACAAACATGACTAAATTGTTGCTCATTTAACCTTTAATTGTTCCAACAGTTCCACATATTTTTTTTATATTTTAGCCATCTGCAAATAAAAATGTTCGGCTCAGGAGAGTGGGGCTATGGCATTTGTTTTTGTAACTTTTATACTTCACTCTCTCTCTCTCTCTCTCTCT